CCCTGAAAATGCTGTCGAGCACTGGAGCAGGCTTTTCAGGGAAGTGGAGAGGACACCATGCCTAGTAGTGTTTAGACGATGTGTATATATGGTGCTTAGGGACGCGGTTTAGTAGCGGACAGGGCAGTGCTGGGTAAGGGCTGCACTGGGTGACCTCAGAGGTCTTTTCCAGCCCAAGAGATTCTGTGATTCTGTGGCGCCGGGAGCCGCGGGGCTGCCAGCCTTGCTTCCATCTCTAGATGGTGCTCTGAGGCCGGCAGTAGCCGCCAGCCCCAGCTCAGCCTCCCTGCGCCGCGTCCCGCCGGCGGGAGCGCTCCGCGGCTGCCGGGGGCAGGACCTCACCTTGTGCGCCATGGCGGGAGGAGAAGCCCGTGCAGCCTCCCGAGAGCTCGCTGCCATCTCAGCTGCTGCTGGTGTGACATCCCCGGCCGCGGGGTCCCGTGCCGCAGGCAGCTGCGAGCGGAGACTGCCTCCCGTGCCCGCCATCCCTCTGCTGTCCCCGCTGTCTGCAGCGGCGAGGCTGCCCCTGATGCCCGACACCACCCCACGTTTTCAGCATCCCAGCACGCTGCATTCCCTCCTCTCTCCCTCCTGCGCATGCAGCAGCAGCCCGTCCCAGCTTTGCGGATTTAGCGCAGGGCCGGGCCCTGAGGGCTTTTCCAATAGTGATGCTCCATTAGGGCCCAGCTCTGCTCTTACCACGGGCAATGCCAAAGTCCCATTGACTTCGCGGGGGCAAGCCCTTAATTGCCAGGGAAGATAAGACTTTTTTCCTTTTCCTTTTTTTTTTTTTTTTTTTTTTTTTTTTTTTTTTTTTTTTTTTTTTTTGTCCAAAAATTCGGACCTCTTTTTTTTTTTTTTTTTTTTTTTTTTTTTTTTTTTTTTTTTTTTTTTTTTTTTTGTGACACTCAAAACTGTGGCCACTTAGTATTGCTGGTCCAAAAGCTGCAAGAGGCCCTGCTGCAAAGGCAAAGGAGAGCTGTTAAAGCTCAAAGAACACAGAGGAGGCATTCTTGCAGAGGTCATGAGCCTCTGCACAGCTGCTGTGGCAGTGCCATGTGCCCTATTCAGTCCTGGGCAAAACTGGGACAAAACCAAGCTGTTTGAAACCTAACATGTTTGTTCAGAAGCACAGACATTTCCAGCACCATTTCCTAATCCGAACCTATTTTCTCCTCAATTGAGATTATTGTTGTGTTTCTTAAAAATATTTTTAGTTGCAGTGTGTATCAAAATGTTTTGCTGAGCAAGTTTTGTGTGAGTTGAAAGGTGCCAATGATGATTCCTTTTCAAAAGGGTTGTCCAAAAGTGTCACCAAAAATAAAACATGAAACAAATTTCTCAAGTGTCATTTCAAACAACAACATTCATTTGAGAGCTGGCAAGAGTGACAAGAGCGTGGTTAGTTGTCATGGGGTAGAGGATCTGAACCAGTGCCTGGATCTTATTCATTGGGAAAAAGTCCTTCCTCTCCCCATTATCTTTCTGGTATTTGAATAGCTTTCAATAATGAGCCAAGTAAGATGTTCAAAAGTAAGACAGGAAAGAAATATAGATTGTGGTTGAATGAACAAAGAAGCAGTGTCTTCCTCCTGAAAAGCAAGCTGCCAGTTCCTTGTGATTAGAGGCAGGTCTTAGGGAAGCAGTCCCTCCATCAGATCCTGGAGGAGGGAAGGACCCCAGGACCCCAGGGACATCATGCCCTCTCATGCATTAAAGGTAACTTCTCTGGAGTGCAAGAAGGTATCACCTACCTGATGCTCCACACACTGTGTGCAAAAGGTAAAATGCAGTGTGTTTACAGTTACGAATGGCCTGGACAGCTGATTTGCCAAACACTTAAAAATGTCAAGCCTTCTGTGTATCAGTTTTCCAGGATGGATTCTCCTGGTGGCTTTTCACAGGCTGCCTAAAGGAGTCCCCAGCATATGGCCAGAGAGGCACTTGTTGAGACGCTGCTGTGTGGCATTTTTGTGAATGTTCTTGGGTGTTTATGGGATGAAGCTGTGGTGTAGGATGGACTATGCCCCCACGTGTGGCGTGCACATGTAGGGACCTGCAGTGTGTACTTGGGCACGAGTCCTCTGGGATTCCAGTGTGCAGGTGCAGAAGGATGTCCTGCTGCTGTGTACCAGCAAACCCTGTGGCACATGTGCAGCTTGCAGGAACTGACACTGGAGTGGCTGCACCATGTTGTTGGAGGGACTGTGTGTGGCACCAGCAGCACAGCTGCACGAAGAGTGTCTGATAGGCAGAAACTTGCTCACCACCTCTGTCTTCCTGCACTGGCTGTTCCTCTCCTTCCCTCTGCCCCCTCCCCTCCACCCCTTCCCTCTCCCCTCTCTAATGATCTGACAGCACTGAAAGCTTTCTTGCAATTTTATTATGAGCAGCAGGGGTTTAGCTGGGTATTCTTCAATGCCTCACTGTCTTCTCCACCGTGATGCCAAACATGACATGAAAACATCCAGCAGGTTCAGACATATGGAGGGGGCTGGAGCCAGTATGGCTGAATGACGCTTCTTCCCTCAGATTGATTGCAATCTTGTCCCATTTTTCCCACAAGAGGCCCCCAGGTAAAGGGAGGGGTGGCAGTGCTGACCTGTGTGCTGCCCCAGCCACTGCAGCTGTGCATGCCCATGGCCCTGGTGTATCTCCCTTGCCTGGCATCTCTGCCACTCACTCCTTGGTGATTGACTCCCAAGAGCTAAGGGGACACTTCATCCCCACCAAGCACTGCCACCTGCCTCCAAAGGATGCTGTACATCAGTGAGGGGGTGCCCAGCCATGAGGGTTCTCCCTCTCCTGGAGGCCACCACCCCAGCCTGTGTCCTGAATGCCCGCGTCCTCGCACACAAAGTCCTTCTCTCTCGGTCCATTAGTTTGTTTCCATGGCCAGTGGCAGGCACACGACTCTGAAAGCTGTATTAAAAGCCAGGTCAATACCAGCCCCTGCTTATTCCCCCAGGGGAAAATAAGTAAATAATGAAAGGAGGGGGTGACTTCATTTCCTAAACCAGCAAACTCTCAAATTTAGTGCTGAGGGAGGCACCCCTGTTCCCAAGTGGGTAGCATTGGAGCTCTGAGGAGAGGCAGCTCTGCCTCAGCATCAGCAGAACCAGAAGGGATGGGAGCCACTCAAAATCCAGTGAATCCATCATTTCAGAAAGGCTTTGAGGCAAACTGCTCTGGCAGATGGTCTCTGGAGCCGAGGATCACTACAGGAGTGAGGTAGAGGGTGAGGTACTTGAGAATGCCTTCTTTGCCTCAGTCTTTCACAGTGAGAGCAGTTGCCCTTAGGGTACTCAGTGCCCTGAGCTGGAAGACAGGGACAGGGAACACAACAAAGCCCCATAATGCAGGAGGGAAAGCTCAGTGACCTCCTACACCACTTAGACACACCCACATCTGCGGGGCTGGATGGGATCCACCCAAGAACACTGAGAAAGCTGGCGGAAGAGCTCACCAAGCAATTTTCCATCATTTATCAGCAGTCCTGGCTAGCCAGAGAGGTCCCCAGGTGACTGGAGGTTAGCCAGTGTGACACCCATCTACAAAAAGGGCTGTAAGGAGAATCTGGGGAACCACAGGCCCGTCAACCTGACCTCAGTGCCAGAAAAGGTCATGGAGCAATTCACCTTGCCATGATACTGAACATGTGGCACAAGGGGAATCAGGCCCAGCCAGCATGGGTTTGGGAAAGTCAGGTCATGCTTGACCAGCCTGATCTTTTTCTATGACAAAGTGACCTGATTAGTGGATGGGGTCAAGGCTGTGGATGATGTCTACCTGCACTTCAGTAAAGCCTTTGACACTGTCTCCCAAAGCACTTTTCCTGGAGAAATTGGCTGCCTGGAGAAGTGAAATGGATGCACTGTTCATTGGGTAGAAAACTGGCTCCATGGCTGGGCCCAGAGGGTGTTGGGGAATGGAAATATTCCAGGGAATGGAATTATTCCAGTGAATGGAGCAAACCCAGGCAGGACAGCTGTTCCCCCACAAAATCTACATCCTAAGATGCGAAATGACCGTGTCTGAGCTTAAACACATCTTGTAAGTCTATTTGTGCTCTTTCTCAAATGCACTTCCATATACCCTCACTTTCTCTTCCCCTTTTCCCCTTCCTTCTTCACCATCTGCCTGCTGTGTCTGTTTCTTCCTCTCAGTCCTGCTATTTCTTTCCTTGCCCTTCTGCTTCTTCCCCTCTTCCTTTTACTTCTTGAACCAATTCCAAGCTGATATTGAGATGCTTTTTTCTGGTTTGTAGATCAGGGATTAGGTGGAACATAACTTCTTCAGCTATTCCCCACCACAGTACAGCTACTGGGTGCCCAGAGCAGCTTCCTGAGCTCCCTGTTTGTTTTTCTGTCCTCATATCATCTGCAGTTATGAAGGGGTGATTCTGCTGCTCCTGAAGGAAAATGCTCATCACCTTTTCACCTCTTTTGTGAAATGACAACAAAGTGATATTACAGGTCTAGCTTTGGTTGATGTCCTCCCTCATTCTCCCTTCATTTGCCGCTAGCACAAAGAGATGCTTTGGGTTTTTCAATGGGGTTTTTGAATCTAGAGCAATGTCTTGCACATCTCTGCCTCTTCACCAAATGTATCTATAACCCTTCCCTGGGAAAAACACTTGCTATCTCCAAAGCAAATAGTATTGCTTGGCCAATCCTACTGGTAATTTTAATGCAGATTATTCCCTCCCTACACACATTTGTAAGACCTTCTCCCTGAGCAAGTTCTCTGAGCCTCTTGTTATAGGTCTTTACCAGAGAGGTCCAGAACAAGAGAGCCCTCATGGTGGAGCTTCCAGGGTCCAGTGCCATACAAATAGCAAACACCAGCCCTAATAACCCTCATCAGTCTCTATACCAGGCTGCGGCCTTGGAGTCTGTCCTTTGCTTCCAAACCTCCCCTTGGGATATTAGACTTTATTAAAAATAAATAGTTACAAATTCTGTTTTACAGCTGATGGCATCAGGGAGAAGAATGGAGGAGGCAAAAGGAGCAAGTGGAGGGAATGCTGTCCAGTCAGGTCACCTGTCTGTCATCCCGGCTGCGCTGCGCCAGGGAGCAGTCTGAGTGTGGTAAGCACAGGGCTCTGCCTCCTCCGCCAGTATCTCAGGAGAGGAGCAGGACATGTTTTTCAAGAGGACTGGGAGAACTGGATCCAAGTCCATGGAGCCGAGCTGCTTCTGGAGGTGACAGACACCAAAAGCCAAGGAGAGTGCAGAGCAGCCTATGTAGAATGTCCTTGTCTCCTAGCTTGGCATTTGCCGTGGGAGAATATCAATTTCAGTTCTCCTTCTCTTTTATATACAGAATCATGTGCAACAAGCAACAAACATGCAAGTAAACTCCTTCCTTGAGACCCTTCCCCACTCCCTCCAAGAGTCACAAACTCTCCCTTCTATCCTCATCTGGTCAGTGCTTAGGTGTTGCTCCTCTCCCGGTGACGGCGATGACCCTTGACAGCCAGGGGGCCTACCCATAGTGAGAGGGGACAGAAAGTCTGCTCTCGCCTCAGCAGCAGAAACACTTGCTGTGTGTGGGTCCCAATCTGTCCACTGAAGGCAGGGACTCCTGTCACCTCTCCAGAGACAAGAAACCAGGCCTGCTGCCCTCCTGTCTCTGGGCAGGAAAGGGGTTCTAGCCCAAGCTGCGTACCCAGAAAGAGCAGTGTATCCTCACTCCTCTCCCGGGCATTAGGACCTTGTGAGAAAGGGAGTATATCCGAGCAGCTCCAGGCCTTGGTGTATTTGGGGCTGAGAGGCAATCATGGGAGGCATTATTTGGTGGTGAAGGAACTTATCCAGTGTATGGGTATGGAACAGAGGAGACTGTAGGCAACGGGTGTGGAACGGGGAGGCTGGAGGAGTTAGATGGCTGACTCCCTGCGGTATGAGATTGTATCTAGAGGCAGAGTTGCCTGGAGCCGCTCCAGGTCCAGGTGGCTTCCAAAATCCATCATCTGGATGATACCTCCCTCTTCCTTGGTGTTGCCCCCTAACACCACACCCACTTCATCATCATCTTCGTCTTCATCTTGACTGACAAGTGCCAGCTCATTCTCGTAGCAGAAGGCACTGGGAGGTGGAGGAGAAGGTAGGATGGTCATCTTGCTTTCTTGCAGCTCCCGGGCTGAGCAGCAAGGTGTGCCAGCTACCTCGTATGTCTTGTGAAAGCGCGAATAATCCACTTTGTAGTGGTTCTTCTCCTCAAACACGACTGGTTCAAAGCGATGACCCCAAAGGATTTCGCTAGCAAGGTAAGAGCTTCGTGCCTGTGTGGTCATGGCTGTGGCTTCCACCATCCCCTCCAGAATAACCACAATCTCAAAATTCTCTGTCTCCAGCTCTTCCTTGCCAATCCCATAGAGGGGGCTCTCCTCATCAATCTCATGAACGATAATAATGGGTGAGACCAAAAATATACGATCAAGACCCACATCGTAGCCCACATTTAGGTCCCGCTGGTCCAGGGGGAGGTATTCCCCTTCCTCCGTCATGTAGGGCTTGATGAGCTGGGCTCGGACATGGGCCTCCACGATGTGACTCCTCCTCAGGTTGCCCACCCTCCACATGAGACACAGTTTGCCGTCCCGCACGGAGATCACGGCATGATGGCTGAAGAGAAGGGTCTGGGCCCGCTTCTTGGGCCTTGCCATCTTGGCCATGATGGTGCCAATCATGAAGGAGTCAATGACGCAGCCCACGATGGACTGCACCACAACTGCCATGATAGCCAGCGGGCACTCCTCGGTCACGCAGCGGAAGCCGTACCCGATGGTTGTCTGTGTCTCCACTGAGAAAAGAAAAGCCCCCAGGAAGCTGTTCACGTGCATGATGCAGGGCTTGAGGAGAGAGGGGCTACCTGCCACTGCCGGCGCATTGAGGTCACCATGGAAGAAAGCAATGCACCAGAAGAGGAAGCCGAAGAAGAGCCAGGAGACCAGGAAGGCGGCGGAGAAGATCATCAGCATGTACCGCCAGCGCGTGTCCACACAGGTAGTGAAGATGTCGGCCATGTAGCGCTGAGATTTGTTGCTCAGGTTGGCAAAGTAAACGTTGCACTGGCCGTTCTTCTTCACGAAACGGTTGCGGTGCTTCCGCCGGGGAGCGTGGCCCTTCCCGTTCCGGCTGTGCCCGTTCATGCTGCCCAGCGTAGAGACCTTGTGTCCATCCTCTTCGGTTGAGACAATGCTGTACCTGGGAGCAGAAGAAACAGGCACTTCCATCAGGAATCCGTGAAGGGTAACAGCAATCACTGAGACAGCAAGGGCAGGAGACGTGGGTGGTTCACAGGGCTACAGGACCACCCTGCTGGATCTCACAACAGCACGTTTCAGTGATTATTGCAGCGTGGTGCCAATCTGACCAAACTGGTGGACATCCGCTGCAGTGTTCACTGAGTGTTGCTGCCTAGATGTTGCATCTAGCAAAGTCCTGACAGGGCAGCAAAACAGCAGCAGCTTGTAGCTCTGTGGTACCTTCCAGCCTTTGTGGTGAGGAGGGATGCAAGGCTTTGAAACCTGACAGTAGCTGGGACAGCCAGGAAGCCTGGGAGCAAGCACCTACAGCCTGACCACATTTTGACCCTCATTTAATACAAGGCTGGGAGTTCCTCTTTTCTCCTCTGCTGTGCTCACTGATTTTATGGTGTGTGGTGATAATGTTTATACACTTCCTGCCTCAGGACAATTCTGTTGCCACAGCAACGTGTGTGTCTTCCAGCATCCCTTATCTGAAGCCAAAGGTGTAATTTGGAAATCAAGCCAAAGCACTGGCAGTTTCCTTGGCAGAAGCTACACACACACTTTCTGGGAAACCTTTCCCCTTCTGGCTCGCCTCCCTCGTGCTTGGCTCTGACACTGCCCCTCATGTGATCAAGTGACACTTGCAGATACTCCTTAAAGATGTGATGGTAGACGGTGCTCTGACCACCGAGGAAACCACGAGAGTGCACTGAAGCACAAAGACTCTGCCCTCATGCCTGACAAGCTGCAGCCTCACAGGACCCTGCGAGTCTCTCTCTCCCCCTGTGGTGTTGACATGTCAGCTGGAGTCCTCCAGAATGGGCCTCCATCTCATGGCAAGGACAGCACTGGTGGCTGAACATGTGATTCCCAGGAACATGTGGCTTCTCCAGTGCTGCTGCAATCTGTAATTTCTGGTTCAGCACCATGCAGTGCTTTGCTTCTCCTCCATAGTATTCCTCCAAGCACTACCCCTACATATGTTTTGGATTGGAGAAGGAGAGAAGAGTCATTCCTTGGAACAGGAAAGCCACTGACAGGTAATTTGAGAAGAATATATGAAAAAGCAGTCTGAACTTAGGGTCTGAGGGGCCAGATGAGGAGGAGCAGGTCACTGAGAGCAGCAGCAGGTCTCGAGAGGATGGTTACTCACCGATTGACTCGGACGCTGCCCATGGCTTGCTCTGTCATCGGGTGTCAGGGGGCCGTGGGAGCTGGCAGGGCGTGGGAGCTCATGCAGCAGCACTCACGTGGGACTGGGCAGCTCCAGGTTTCACCTCTGGCGAGCTGGGACCAGCGCTGCCATTGCGATTGCTCCTGGGCACGCGCCTGGCAGAGAAGGACAAAGCACAAGGCGGTGAGATCCCCCCGCAGCACCCATCGCAGTCCAGAGCGGCGGGCACAGCGCTCCCGGCCTTTTGCTCAGGGTGCGTTGGGATGTCTCCTTGGGGCACCTGCTGCAGCCTGGCTGGGCAGCTGAGGAGCTGATGGGTGCAGACTGGGTGCACGGCCCACAGAGCCCGTGCTCCCAGCAGAGGAGCGGGGCCGGCCGCTCACCGCTCTCCAGACCAAGGGCACGGCAGCAGAGCAGCTCACAGGGCCCTCGCCCTGAGCCATTATATTAATATCAGAGCTTAGACCAGGGTGAGAGCTCAACCAGCCTAAATACCTCTCACACAAGGACTAACAAAGCACAGCGATGCACAGCAGCCCGCAGGGATCCCCGTAGCCCAGCCTAACCCTGAGGGGATTTTTTCCAGGGTGCACAGAACACCCTGTTTCAAATAAAAGAAGGAAAGCAATGGGTGGAGCCCAAAAGAACTGATGGAAAGGAAGGGCTCAGGAGTAGCCAAAGAGAAGCCAGTTAGAGGAAACAAACCTTGAGACATGCCCTGTGTACAGCATCCAAGGAGCAGCTCAGCAGCAGAGTCCTGGGAGGGTGTCCAGCAGATGTCCCAACCCAGTCCTCCCAGAACAGAAGGATGGGGAAGCCAAAGACCCAAGAGCCAACCTATTCCACCTGCCCAGAGCTGCTGGGAAGTGAAATGCACTGCGGGGTTAATGACTCACAGATTAGGAAGGGCTTTGTACACCCATGCTAATCCTGCTCTGTAGCTTTTGGATTACAGCAGCCAGTGCTGAGTGTGGATGCAGACAGAGTCAGCTAGTCTATTTCCTCCCAGCCTCACCAATGAACAGCCACTGGTTGCCAGATATGCAAAAAAAATACAAGGATTTTGGGATCAAATGTAGGGCTTAGTGCTGTTTGGAAGTGGTTGTGCAAGGACGGGAGAGAGGAATAACAAATGATGTTGCCCAGGATAGAAAAGCTGGTGAGAGCATCCTTGTCTCATCAGCAGTGCCCCAGAATGGGGCTGCACATGGCCAGGGATGCCCACCAGGATGCCACTGCTTTCCCCAGTTAGGATCAGAGACTGCAAAGCTGCAAGAAGGGAGCTCCAGACATCACCTCTGATGGGATGAAGATTACTCAGTTACTGAGGCAGTTAAAGCTCTGCAGCAACACAAACATGGTTGTTCAGACCAAGAGTATTATGGGACCAGGAGAAAAAAACAACCTTGTAATCTGCAGCTCACCATATAGAGACAAAAGTGAACAGCTGCCCAAAAATCCCCATCAGGAAAAAGCACTTTGACACTGAACACTGCCAGCTCCCACCAGTTGCCCTACAACATCATGAAGTCAGTTTGGCCAGGAATTTTTGCTGTGCAGCTAGGTAAACCTATAGCAGACCCTGGGGCTGGTCACCCAAGTTAATCAGAAATGTTGATGTGATGGAGAGATCAGTTCATACCCACAGATGGTCCTGCTGGGATAAAGCTGACTAGAGCGATTACATGGTGAGTTCAGACTGCCGGGTCCCACATCGCTTTGGGAGGTGGCAACGTTTAGGTTGTACCGGTCTAGGTACAACACTCTGTGCCAGCCCCAGCCAGGAGAGGAAAGGCATCCTCTTCAACTGGCATCATTCTCAGCCCGCCTGGATATGCCAAGCTCATCCTGAGCCAGCGCTGACCCCGATAACACAGGGAAGGCCCTGTCACAGCTCACACATATGAGTAATTCACAATTTCCTGAAAGTTTCTACAACCAACGACTCTCTTTCTGCAGCTGCAAAAACAGATGGAACATCTCTAGAGATTTTGGATTTCTGGCCCAGGCAGCAGCCAGCTCCAAAAGAAAGGAAGGAGGACCTGAGGCGCTTTGTGAAAACGTGTGCAGCAACACCTGGACGTCTGCTCCTCACCTTTCCCCCCTTCCCAAGAAGGGGCAAAGGAAGCAGACGAAATGCAAGGGCTTTGTTTATCTCCAGTTCAGGCTGGTACAGCTGCGGGATGGGATGAGCACACTGGGTAAGAGCACTGCATCCTGTGGTGCTGTGCTTCCTCCTGGCTTCCACATGGAAGCTCATGTCAGCTGGAGCTGTGGCAGAGTCCACCATGGCTGGACCTTGCAGGTCAGAGCCTGGGCAGCCTTTGCTGCTGGCTCCACAGTGCCCAAACAGAGTATCAGCAGCTAAAATCACATCACTACCTGCTACTGGTACTTAATCACAAGGAAAGTATTTCCACAAAGGATGAAGGCTACCAGTCTGAGCACACACATTTGAGAGTGGGAAAGTAAATGCTTTTATTTGCATTAAATGGTTACGAGTGAGAAAATTATGGCCTCGGACCGTGCACGGATCCATGCAACTCACACAGAACTGCACTCATAGATCTTTCTCTGCTTAAAATTTGGGAATTTTTCTGGTGGATTCAAGAACCTCAGTAACAATGGGCAGCATTTCTGAGGCAGGAACTGCCTGAGGGAGGCGTCATTGCCCATTATGAGTTTGTGGGAGTTTTGCCTGGTGAAGTCTAAGTTGTGCTTCACTGCTTCCAGGCCAGTCTGTTCTCAGTTTTTCATTCTCCAGCTTGCATCTCTCCAGCTGTCCTTGGAGAATAAAGATCTGCTGCTTCAGCCTCTCCATGTTTGTTTCGGCATTCAGGGCGCGCTGGGTCTCTAGCTGAAGATAACACTCAGTCTGCCGGACTAAGGACTGGAGCTCTTGGGATTCCCTCTCTCGTTCAGCCTGGCTGATCTTCAGCTGATCCTTCAGGCTCGCCACCATGCACGCCTGTCTCTTCAAGTTGTTCTGGAAGTTGTTAAACATTCTCCCAGCCATGGCATTGTCCTTCCTGAGTGCAGCATTCTCTCCCTGGAGCCTGTCATACTGTTCCCTGAGCACGTTGTATTCTTCCCTGAGCACGACGTCCTCCCCCATGAACACAGCCCTGTCCTTCTTGAGCCGTTTGAACGCCTGCCTGAGTGTAAAATTCTCCGCCTCGAGCATGACGTTCGCATTCCTGAGCATTCCGTACTCCGACCTGAGGATGCTGTTCTCCTGCCACAGCGAGTCGTAGGTCGGCTGCAGGGGCTGGGACTCTCCGTCCTTGCTGTCCTCGCCGCCCTCCCCGTGCAGCACCTGGGGCTCCGCTCCCGTGGTGCTCTCTGGCTGTCCCACGTAATGGTCACTGGCATGGGCCTGTGTGGCAGCGGCCTCTGTCCCCAGGTGCTGGCCTGAGCTGTGCTGGAGAGAGTCATGGAAGCCACTTGGTGCTGTACCGGCCTTTTGGGGGGCAGGCAATGGCTGATGCCCAGGAAGGTGGTAGGTCGGGCTGGGCTTCTCATCTCCAGCCAAGCTGTCGGACATTCTCATGTCTTTGTAAAATGGTTCCTGAAACTCCTGATTTTCCTTCTCAAGCCTCAGTTCATGATTGACCAACCCAACCTGTTTATCATTCACCATGTAAGAGTCCCCAGGAGTTGGGAAAGATGTGGGTTCTCCCAGATTCTCTGTCTTATTTTCATCTGTGCTCTTACTGCTCTTGCACGAGGGTGAAGGAGGGTCAGAAGGGTGGGAATTCCCTGGTTCTTCACTGTTATCATCACCACCACCATCGTTGACATCACCTGGCAAGCCTTGAGATTCTGGGTAGACCATCATCATTAGCCCAAAGATGCGAACTGGCCGCGACATTTTTCAGGATGCTCTCAGCTGCAGTAAGCAGGAGTATCCAAATTGTGTTCCTGGAGTGCAGGCCATACAGGCTGTTGACACTGACAAGCAGTGTGCCACCTTCTGCAGCCTCAGCAATGCTTGTTGTGGCCACCCAAATCCCTCTGTTTAGAACACCAGAATGTTCAGGAGAGCCACACACCTCTGCATCTTGGCTCTGGGGACAACTGGAACCACCAACATTCCAAGGTCTGTGATGTCATCGAGTTCCATGTGTGCTGAGTTGTCAGAAGCAGGGGAGGGGGAGGAAGCAATCAACTGCTGTCCTGATTCTGTCTAGGACTGCGTTAATTTTCTTCATAGTAGCCAGCAGAGTGTTGGCTGATAACACAGACTTGTCAGAGTTGTTGTTTAGTGGCTTACTCCAAGACAAGGACTTTTCCGTTGCCCATAGTCTGCCACTGAGGAGCTGCGCAGGAATCCAGGAGGGAGGATGGCCAGAACAGCTGGTCCAAACTAGCGAAAGGGATATTCTATGCCACAGAACATCATGCCCAGAATATAACTGGGGGATTTAACTGGAAAGGGCTGATGAATGCCTGGGGACATGCTGGGCATCAGTCATTGGGTGGTGAGTAATGGGGTTGCGCATCACTTGTTTCTCTTGGGTCCTGTTATTCTCTCTCTGTGTTTATTATTACTATTTCTATTATTATTATTATTAATAATAATAATATCATTAACATATATATTATTGTTATATTTTATTTCAATGATTAAATTGTTGTTATTTCAACCCACAAACTTTACCTTTTCTTTTTGATTCCCCTCCCCAGTGTGGCTGGGGGCAGTGAGAGGGAGAGAGGGGCTGAGTGATACTTAAGCTGCCTGCTGGGGTTAAACCACAACAGCTGCAAAAGGTGGTTTTGGCAGCATGAGGATAAGCTCTCCTCCAGGTGTAGAGCTGACCCCAGCTTGAGGATGCTGCCAGTGAGCAGACAGCAGCTCATGAAGCCACCTGAGACCTCCAGCGTAAAGGAGGGACAGGGACGATCCAGCCCAGGCAGGCAGCATGGCTCAGAGGGGACAGCCCTGTCCCACAGGGCACTGAGACATCTCCACCAGCAAGGTCAAGCCACTGGCACTTGGCTGGGGCTCACCCTGGACAGGGGCAGGAGACATCACCAGCACTTTGGCCACCAGCTTAGGCATCGCTCTAAGCTGAGCGGCCAGTGGAGGGTCCACGCTGTGGTGCTGCCAATCTGATTCATCCCTGCTGCCAGCTGGCACAGGGAAGT